GGGCTGAATGGCCTCCTGTTCCTGTGTAACAGGCTGGAGGAGGAGGGGGGTGCTGAATGGCTATCTTGGATCTTGGCTCCCCTTGCATGGCGATGCCTCCCACAGACTGATAGCCCAAGACTGGCATGAGGGTGAGGAGGGGCATATGGACATTTGAACAGTTGTTCCCCCCCACCCCAGGGGATTTCCCAGCTTACCCACCTCCTTAGCCCCCACCACAGCCACCCAGAGGCTAGGCCCTGCTGCTATTCGGAAACAGCAGCATCACCCAATTATTGTACCTTCACGAGTGCCTTAGTTTGTCCCTCTTCCCCGTCCCTTCCCTACTTGTATCTTTGGGGCACGACCGTCCAGCCCTATTTCTCTCCCCTCACCTCCCTGTGGCTAAGCCTTTCACGTTTCTATTGCACCCCAGGTGTGATCGGGTTGGGAGGGCATCGAGGGGAGTCATGTAGCCCCGCGCCTGGCTAGCACCCCCAACCCCTCCATCTTAAAGGGCAGTCAGGCCAGCCTGCACCAGTACCAAACTAGGTGCCAGGGCAATGGAGTCTCACTCTACACACAACATACCCCCACCCAATCCTCTCCCTCTCTCGCGCTCTCTCTCTCCAGCTGACTTCCAAGATCAGCTAGGCCGAGAATTGACCTTTGGATACATTCCTTTTCCTCTCTACGGGTTGAGTGCCAAGTGGCAATGGATTGGGTAGGCCGAAATTGGAGCCTGGGCCTTTCCTGCCCAGAGATTTAGGCCCAGTACCACAGCAGGTCACATAGGAGGCTATAACGCCAAATAGGCCGAGATTGGAGCCCGGGCCTTTCCTGCCCAGAGATTTAGACCCACTACCACAGCAGGTCACATAGGAGGCTATAACGCCAAATAGGCCGAGATTGGAGCCTGAGCCTTTCCTTCCCAGAGATTTAGGCCCACTACCATGGCTGGCTAAAGAAGAGGCTATAACTGGAGATAGGCCAAGATTGGATCCTGGGCATTTCCTGCTCTTGGCGCCAGGGCCTCACAGGCCCAGTGGATACTCAGAGAGCAGACTCCCCTCTCGCAAGCCCCCCCCCCCCCCCCCCCCAAAGCCGAGAACACGCGAGGCGGTGGGGAAGATGCACAAACGCAGCGTACCGGCAGAGAACTGGAGCCAGGCGCACACCTTGTAGACTGTGGAGGGGCTGCAGCAGCGATAAAGCCCCAGGCTGCAGCAGACGCTGGCCAGGACCAGGCCCAGGGCAGCCCCAACGAAGCCGGCTGGAGTCTGGAAGGAGGGCACCGGGGAGAGGGCAGCCAGGGAGCCCTGACACCGGGGAGGCCCGTCCGTCTGCTGGCACAGCTGGAACAGGCCGAAGGTGCCAGTGGGGCCTGGGCCTGAGGCTGGGGCCTGCACCCAGGCTGGCTCAGTCAGCACCACTACCTCCAGCAAGGCCAGGCACAATGTGCAGACAGCCCAGAGAGCTGTGACGGCACGGGCGTTCCTCACAAAGTCCGTCTGGTAGAGGGGGGCCACCTCCTGAGCTGTCAACATCATGCCCCAGAGGTGACCCACAGGCAGCACAGTCCCTCCCTCTCTCTCTGTCTCTGTGTCACACCGAGAGCCAGCTGTTAGTCTGTGAGTAGCTGAGCTGCAGCGTGAGCTGAGACAGGCTCCAAGCTGACAGCTAATCCATCACACTCTGTCTCACACCCTCTCACACTCACACTCTCTCTCACACCCACACTCTCACACCCTCTCACACTCACTCTCACACTCTCTCTCACACCCTCTCACACTCACACTCTCTCTCACACCTTCTCACACTCACACACACACTCTCACACCCTCTCACACTCACACACACACTGTCACACCCTCTCACACTCACACTCACACACACACTGTCACACCCTCTCTCACACACATACACTCTCACACTCACACTCCCACACAGACTCACACACACACACACTCTCACACCCTCTCACACTCACACTCTCTCTCACACCTTCTCACACACACACTCTCACACACACACTGTCACACTCTCGCTCACACCCTCTCACCCTCACACACCCTCTCACTCTCTCTCACAGACTCACTCACACACATACACTCTCACACTCTCTCTCACACCCACACACACACTCTCTCACACTCACACACACATGCTCACACACACACACGCACTCACACACGCACACACACATACACGCGCACACACACTCACACACACACTCTCACACACAGGCACACACACACACACACACACACAGAGCCAGTCCCTCTCCCTCTCACACACACACTCTCCCTCACACACACACAGACACTCTCTCTCACAGACAGCCACACACACACACACAGGCACTTACACAAACACACAGACACTCTCTCTCTCACAGACAGATACACACTCACCCACATAGAGCCAGTCTCTCTCTCCCTCTCACACACACACGCCCACACACACTCTCCCTCACATACACACACCCACACACATACACACTCTCTCACACACACAGACACATTCACACAGCCAGTCTCTCTCTTCTCTCTCACGCACACTTTCTCCCACACACACACACACTGACACACTCTCTCTCTCCCTCACACACAAACAGACACACACACATACACACTCTCTCATACACAGACACATCCACATAGCCAGTCTCTCTCTCTCTCTCACACTCTCTCCCTCACACACACACCCATAGACACACACTCTCTCTCTCTCTCACTCACAACCACTCAATGTCACACACACACACACACACACACACACTCTTTCTCACACACACACAGACACACTCTCTCCCTCTGTCAAACACACACACACGCACTCTCTCTCACACACACACATACTCTCTCTCACACATACACACACATATTCTCTCTCTCACACACACACATACACACACATTCTCTCTCACACACACACACAGACACACACACACACTCTATCTCTCTCTCTCCCACACATGCACAATGTCTCTCTCACACACACACACTCTCTCTCCCACACATACACACTCTCTCCCACACACGCATAAACTCACACACACAGTCTCTCTCTCACACACATACACATACATACACACACTCACACACACTCTCTCCCCCTCACACACTCTCTCTCACACACACACACTCTCTCTCACACGCATAAACTCACACACACACACTCTCTCTCACACACACACACGTTCTCTCTCTCTCACACATACACACACATACTCTCTCTCTCTCACACATACACACACATACACTCTCTCTCACACACACACATACACACACATTCTCTCTCTCACACACACACATACGCACACATTCTCTCTCTCACACACACACATACGCACACATTCTCTCTCTCACACACACACAATCTATCTCTCTCACACACACACACTCGATCTCTCTCACACACACACACTCTATCTCTCTCTCTCTCTCTCTCACACACACACACTCTATCTCTCTCTCTCTCTCTCTCACACACACACACTCTCTCTCACTCTCTCACACACACACACTCTATCTCTCTCACTCTCTGACACACACACACTCTATCTCTCTCACTGTCACACACACACACACACACACACACACATACAAACAGAATCAGGAAACACTCTGACCAGACCCAGCACGGGGTCATCCAACTCCCACGTCCCCCTCCCACCGGGGAGCCAGGGCCAAACCATTCCAGAATCCCCTGTCTGAGGTTAATTCGCAAATACATGCCTGCACTCCCTCTCCCACCCTGCTTCAGACTAATATACTGGGAGAGGGACAGGCACTGGGTCAGAGGCGTTGACCCTCCGACAGCACCCGCTCCCTCAGCGCTGACTGTCCGACAGCGCCCCACTCCCTCGGCGCCGACC